TAAAGGCTAATTTTTGTAAAAATTTGGTCTATTTTGCTCCAGTCAGTCCCTGATGTGATAAGCCCTCCAATATAGCCATTTTTATTAGGCTAATTAATTTAATCTTAATAAAGGTTGTTAGAGACTTGCGCAACACAAAACCATAGTGACAAAAGAAAAAAATTTAATCGTAATTATAAATACAACTTAAATTGTGACTGAATATAAAATTACATTCATCTTTATATTAACGCAGTTATGTTATGAGTAATGGAAAGTTTCACATGAAGATACCTACAGTACCTTTCCTACAAGCAAAATTAAATCATTACGAACGGCTCTTGATAAAATATCACGATGAATAAATCCGCTTGTCAAATAATTATGAGCATCGAGTGATTTCTATGCCTTCATTTGATCCAGTGTGACAGCATTAGTTGTTAAAACCTAATAATTTACGTTCTATAGTTGGCCACATGATTAAATCGTTGGATGAAAAATCCGTTTCTTTCATTTCGTATGGATCCCATCCCATAAAATAAGTTTTCTCTTTACATTTTATCAAATCATTACGTTTCAAATCGGCTGCAAAGCCAGGTAAAATTCCTTTCTTCCACGTTGGCATTATAGTGATCAAGCAAGGTAACGTGTAATCAGCAACCAATATGGCGTGCGCTTCTTTGCACAGTCTCTGTGTATGAGCGGAGTCATGTGACGTCACGTGCACCCCTCTATTCGGGTGTTAGATGGGTGAAGAAAGCCGGAAATCTCCCCGAAGCCAGTCCTTCGGTAAGATTCGAACCTGCGACCAACTACTATAGTCGACGCTGGTATTAGTATAGTAGGACTGTCTCCACATAAGAAAAATCTAATCCCCACAGTAGACTACGTCTGCACACTACAAATTTTATTTGTTTAATTTATTCATTTTTTTTAATAAAGACCATTATGTCGATAAAAATATGCACACCGTCTTATTCAATGATATTTTAGCTGAAACATCCGATCAGTTTCCTTTCATTTGATGTGTTGTAGGTGTTTATTGTATTTTTTTTTAATCAAAACTTTTTCTGTATTTTTTTATATAAATAAAATTTTGTAAAAAAAAAAGAAAGAAAAAATGTGGAGACATACCTTCGAGCCTGCAATCTTGAAATCAAAAATTTTTTTTGCGTGTGCTGCGTATAAGTATCTTTATGCTACTTTAACGACACATTCAATTCATTGGCTTTCTGTTTTCATGTTTTTGAAAATATTTTAATGGAGATTCGTCTGTATCGCCGACTACTTCATCAACTTTACCTTTCTTTAGATTGCTCAAGTGACAAGGATCATCATTGTTCGCTTACGAAACAATGTCTCTTGGCCATAACCACGGAAATGCTATCATTTTGATTTAAGAATTTTTTTGTTATAAAATGCAGACAAAAAAGAAACATACTCGAAATAATTTAAAAATTACATTTGATTTGAACTCATTTCTTTTGTTTATGCTGGAAATAAGCACTGTAAATAGGAACTAGCTTTTTATGCGTAGGATAGTGAGAATATCTTAAAAGTTATGATATGTAAAATTAAGCGCAAGCGCGTGGCAGAACATGTGTACACCAGCGATATTCTGACGCGAAGACGTGGCGTCAATATGACGCGGCGTTCGTAACTACGTAGAAGTAAATGGAAGCGTCACCGCCGAGTTACTCTATTTCAGGGGTGGCCAACCTTTTGCATACCATGCGCCAATTTTTTGATAGACGAGTTCAGATGCGCAGTGGCGTACCGTGGGTGTTAGCCGCCCGGGGCGGAGAAAAATTTCGGCCACCCTTTAATCAGGTATTTCAATTTAAAAGATCAAAATTCAGTTGTGTGAAAAAAAAATTAATAAAAAATGCGGTGGTGGTGTAGTTACCCGTACAAAATAGTCCCATTTGACATTAGTAGCATACACGATTGCGAATGTATCGTGAATCGTAGAAGCAAAAAAAAAAAAAAAAAAAGGTCAACAGGTGTAGCAGTCCAACCGACTCGTGGACTGTCCGGACGGTAGCACTGTCATTTAGACGCCTATGCACTGATCGAAAATAAACATACATGCATACACTGTAATTTACTATGTGGAGAACACTCATTTTATCTGTAAAGTTGATTGCAACGAATTGTGCAACAAATGAACTTGCCAAGACAGACTATAAAAAATTAATTTTCTATGTAATATTCTTAATTGCAAAGAAGCCAAATCTGGCAATGTTGCTCAGAACTGACTAAAGCGCCACTTGTAATCGTCCAATGCGCCAAGTTTGGCGCATGCGCCACGGTTTGGCCACCCCTGCTCTATTTGCTTCCTTGTACAGTACTTATAGCAGGTGGCGAGTAAAGTGTTGGTTGATTTTATCCACTCAATCGCTGATGGGTCCAGAAACTAAAGGACTTCAGTATAAAATATTGACGAAAAAACTAAGTTCGGGCTTACTTTTGTATATTTACTTAATAATAAATACTAATGATCAGTTACACTGTCGTGGGAGGAGCATGTTTTTAGAGTGTTAGAATTAGATTTCTCCTTTCTAGAAAATCCCATGCAGCCAAATTGAGCCATTCAAATTAAAGCAAAAGTAGTTTACTGTATTTATAACAAGTAATAATAACAAAATAATCCAAAAATCATTTTAAAAAATAGTAAAATAATAATATTATGCACTAACCACTAAGGACTGATCGTCTCGAATAATGTAATCTTTAAAAACGGATAAATCATCGCTTACTGTCATACAAAAAGCTAATCTTTCATCCGTAAAGAATGTTGGAATTTCCTATTTTTCATTTTGGAAGTTTTCATTGTAATTGTTGCTAGCCTAACTTAGTACCCAAGATTAAAACTCACGAACTTACTTTTGAAGTGGTTTATTTACTAGAAATCTTTGTGATATTGAAAACTGTATGATGATGCTACTGATAATTCGTTCTCAACATTTATTTCAGAAAAAAATTTTTGTTTATATCTAAATTTTATTTTTAAATGATATTTTTTTTGTATGTTAATAAACAAAAGATGAGAACAGATATCAATATTTCTGTCTAAATGCCTTTTAACCATCTTTATATTTTGGAAGTTTAGTTATATATTTCCAGTCACATGTGGAATCTACTAAAAAAAAATTAACGAATATATTTAACACAATATATAAACAATTTTTCGCTATAATTAACGAATGATAATTGATTTTATATTTGTTTATTTTAAAATTTATTAAGTTCAAATTTCTTGTATAATATTTGAACTGTTTTTAGCTTTCAGTCAATGAACGGACTCGTGCTGGTTTTCTTTGTAAATATTAAATATTCTTAACCCCTGTTATTTCCACATTCTTTCGGTAATCTTAAAATATTTATTAACGTGGTATTTCGAAAAGTTATCGGACATCTATCTATCACATGATGTTAATACTGCCACGTGCTGTAGTTATATCTAAAGATCTTAGAATTGATGTAGAGAAAGAATCGACCTTGACTTAAGCAGTTTCCGTCACGATTGATGACTAATATCGACGAACGATAATATTAAATTTTAAAAAATTCCCATTTTCCTATTTCTACGCTCTTGTTATTATAAGAAAAAGATTATATAAATGTATTATTTTGAAAGTATCCATATGGATATGTCTTTTAACAGCGAAATTTTTCAGTTTTGCACACATGACCTATTTGAAGTATGGATTAAATATATATTTTCTGATTACCTACAGAAATTAACTAGTCGAATTACTCTGATTAGTAATTAAATATTAATTTAATTTTCATTATATATATTTTAGACCGTGCTAATTCGTTATTGAATTTTAATTACGTTCAAATTAACAATAAAAAAACAAGTTATATTATTTTTATATTATTCATTTTCCATGACATTTGATACATAAATAATTGGAGTTTTATGTGCACTAATTGAACTGTTTTCCGAAATGATTAACAGCTTAAAAGTAAAAACACTTTAAGTTTAATACATTCAAATAAATGTATATTTATATTCATCATCTCAAGCCTGTATCTGACAGATACAAGCTTGAGATGATGATGATGATGAAACCACAATTAAGCATTTTTTGGATTATAAATCTCCACAAAATTGACTTTTTTCAACTTATAAAAGTATCTTATTAAGGATATTCTTACAATTTTTTTTAAAAAAACAAATAAAATCTTTACTTAAATTGGAATGAAATCAATTTTTTAAAATAATTTTCGAGCCAATTATTTATAGATTTGTATTTGGTTTGAGTATGTATTTGAGTAAATTTAAATTTAGAAAATTGATTAAATGTGTAATATTTCTGGTAAACTCTCTGTCAAAAACACTATTTTAAATTGAAAATTGTTCTTTGGATGGTGATAATAAATTCCCTTATTTAAAGCTTGTAATAAGTTGCTTAATACTGTAACAATTAACTTATTTATTAGGCCTAATAATAATAATTAAATAAATTATTTAATTATTATTATTAGGCCTATTATTATAAATTAATTGTTAAATAATTTATATGTAAAATATTATTTGCATACAAATAGCATTTTATATATAAATATTCATTATAGAATTTCAAATATTTTCTATATAAAACTTACCCAAGTCTTTCATCTTCAAAGTTACTTTATATAAATGCCATTTAGATGAATAAATTACGTATATATTACTCATATAAATGACCTTTAAAGTTAACGAACGACCCCTTTTTTTTTATTATTATTATTTGACGTTTAACGTTCAATATTAAAAAGAGAATTCACGAAATAAATAACTAAAAAATTTTACAAGCAGACGACAGATTCAAAATCTCGTGCTCTGAAGAATGTCGTCTGTTCGCTTCTGATTGGTGGAAATTTTCAGCAGACGATATTTTTTTTTCGTAAGAAGAAAATAAAATCGAATTAAAATTGCGGATAATATTTTAATTTTTAAATATTATATTTTTATTTAATTGTTTTTCATTTTTGTCTAGTTTTATTAATTTTTATTTTTTAATTCATAGACATTTTAATGTATCTCGAACGGATCGTCTGTTCTTCCTACGCAGCGTTTGTTTTTTCGTCAATTCTTCTTCGGAAGGTAAGATAAAGTAAAAATTATTTTTTTTTTAATTTATTCCGTAATTATAAACTGTTTCTTTGATATAAACGTTATTTGAAACTCTTTTCACATATAATAATAATCTTTATAAGATGTTATCCTGTAATAACTGAATTTAAACTGGAATGTTCGTGTAACCCGTATTTAAAATGCTGGTAACGTTGTTTCGGCACTCTATTTTTATTTCTAATAATTGCTACCATCACTTTTATCTTCAGACATGTTCGGAAGGCATTATGCGGGTGGAACCATATCTCCCGAACTAATGATTGAATTTTCTTGAAAATTTCTAGAAACGTTTCACCCTAACACGCAAACCTCTCTACAAAATTTCGGGAATTTCCAACAAAAGGCACGGAAGTTATTAAACTTTAAATTGGGTGGACAAAATCGCGCCTTCTATACACTAACCAGAAAAAAAACCAGTGGTGAGTTATCCTATGGACAAAGAGGGCAATTTCCCGGTGTTTTCATTAACAGGGGGCCCCAAATCAATCTTTTGTAAGAAAATATTTTCCCCTACAAATTCATCCGAAGAAAAATGTATGAAGTCAATAATGTATTATACGTATGGACCCCTAATTCAAATTCGCTTAGAACCTATGAAGCTATAACGCGCCACTAAAAAAACCCAATATTTTTGTGTTTCTTGACGATTAAGCCCAAAAACATGTCAAAATTTGGGAAATCATATTTTCCATTTGTTAATATAACAACAATGAAAAAATTGTTTTATAAATACACTTAATTATTATTATTATTATTATTATTATATTTAGCTCTTGACGTTGTGTTAAGCCGGTTAAATCACTGTTTTCGTATATTGTTATCGTGTATTTCGGAGACTTCAACTTCCTAAATTAATAGACTTTTCTATAATGAGTATGTACAGTGCCATGTTTTTTGTTAGTTATTTTATATAATATTGTATAATTAAAAATATATTTCAAGAAGCCGCGGAAATATTTTATACTGGTGCGCTTAACGACAGGTTTCTAGAAAATTAATTATATCAATATCTTATTATATACAGTAAAACCTGTCTATGGCGACCACCCACGGTTCATTCAAAAAATGGTCTTTTAGACAGGTGGTCGTCCAATACAGGTGGTGATGTAATACCGTATTTCCGTACGTATTTTGCGCACTTTTTAGCCATTTCTACTAAGAAAAACTCGAGGTGAGCAAATATAAGCGAATTTTTTCAACGATAGGGCTATATTGGTATTGTATTTTATTCTTATAGGATAACTCGATTTACGGGAGTCATCGTGATTTTATAAGACAGATTTAATATCAATATTTTAAAGATTAATACAATGGTCGCATTTTCTCGATTATAATGCACACTTTCTTTTTTCCCACTTAATTAATTCAACTCGGTTATTTTCGTTCGCTCCTCAGTTCGTTCGCTTCGTTCGCGCTTGTATATCGATGACGTGTATTACGTCATCGATATACAAGCGCGTTGTATCTCTACATCACTTTGGTTTTGGTATTCGCTAGTTTAATCTTATTTTAACTTTAAAAATACTGTATTTCTTAATATTTAATATTTTCTTAAGTACAATAAGAAAAATTATTAAATACAGTAGAGCTTCGAAAACTCGGCACTCGATAACCCGGCACTCCGGATAACTCGGCCACACCCTGGTAGGGCAAAAATAACCTTAGATAATTAATTTTCATCATAGACAGCTTTATGCCTCATAAAGTATTTTTCTGAGGTCTGTCTTATCAGGTAAATTACTGTACACTGTGTATTCATTAATTTTCATTTTCATGTAGTAAAGGCTCTATGCCTTCATAAAGTACGTACTTTTCCTTTGTTTAAGGGTATTTGTACAGTTTACTCTCTGTTGTATTCTCAAGCAAACAATACATACAAGTACAGTACAATATTTTCTGAGGAAACACGCATACTTATCCTTTTTTAACCCCATTCCCGATAACCCGGCATTTTCACAAACTTGGCCACCCTTCGGTCCACATTAGGCCGAGTTTTCGAGGCTCTACTGTAATAATAAAACGATTTTATTATTTTTTCTCATTGTACGATTTTATTACATTCCGCGATTGTCATTGCGGAATCGAAAAAGGAAGGTTGCCTGTAAAACTGAGTTTTGCATTAATGCGTTTATTGTTTTTTGAATATTTTGCGTGCGAAAATGACTTGGATATTATTTTCCTTAAAATATCGGGGAAATAAGGTAGGTTGCAGAAGTAGGTTGTACAGAAACTATTTATCGCACATGTACTGTACATGAGCTTCAAAATAAATAAATAGAAAAGTAAATAAAAATAAATTTTATCAAACGATGAGATCAGCCAATTAATTGTATCGTGTACAATATATTATACCGTCAAGGAAAATACTGTAGGTTTACAGGTAAAATAAATTTCATTTTTCAAAAGTTAAACTTCGCAGCTAATTGCTGTTGTTATAACTTTAATACGATCTTCTAACGACAGCACTTTGCATTTCTTTCGTTTATCGGACAATTTCGAACAAACTGAAATGAATTTCCTTTGTTGCTAGACTAATTCATTAACACCTGAACCTAATTTCAAGGGTGGAGAAGTGCCCGAGATGGGTTTGAACGAGAGTTTAGACTAATTCATTGTATTAGGAAGGGGAAAACGTTGTTGAACAATAGTTTAGACCAGATATATTCGCGAAAGTGGTCGCTTATTACAGTTGTTGTATGTTGTTTCGGAACAAAAATCGATGCCCGCGGTCGCGTTACACAGGTGGTCGTTTAATACAGGTAACTTATACGAAGACTCTATGGATAAACTATTCGGTGCCAGAAATTTTCGCCCGTTTTGACAGGTGCCCGTCGAATGCAAGTGTCGCCTAAGCTGTTTTTACTGTATCTACTTATAATCACTATTTTTAGATTGAATTTGTATGAATTTAAAATGTTAAATTTACTTTAAAAATCGTTTAGCTTTATTAATTAATTATAAAAAAAATGAAAATATTGTTGTGAAAATAATGTTATGAAACACATGAAACAAGACTTGCAATTCCGGACTTGGCATCTATTGATACACGAACATTTTATTTTTTTTTTCTTTACCATTATATTGTGAAATGTAAAAAGTATAAACAAAACTTTATCGTGAAAGTGTTTATATATTCTGTTTGTCGTTTCTACTCTGTATTTTATTTCTTATTGTTATTGGACTACTTTTAATTCTCGAAACACTTATCTGAATAGAATTTAAATGAATAAGATAGTGGTTCTCAGCTGATGTGCCACGAAATTCTTAAAAGAATGGCATAAAATTTAAAAAATTTGAAAAAATGCAAATTGTATTTTTTAATTAAATACAATAGAATTTATTATTATATAGAAGAAAAATGCGGGTTTTCAACGTCACTTTTCGTTTATACATATAAGAGCATTTTTGATGTCACACTTGCTCATTGGTGTTTCACCATATTGTTTTATATTAAACGCGAATATATAAATTTAAAAATGTATAGATTACAAAACCCTTACAATAAATATGAAAAATATTTTTATATTCTGTAGTTTTATGGTTTATTTATCCTTGGCTCCGTATGTTCGATAATTATCTTGAATTTTATATTTAAGTTTAATTGCTATTAAATGGCAAAGAAAATGTATGCAATTTAATTTTTTTTGTTTTTAATTCTTTTGATTATTTTTAGTTATATTGTTTGATTACGAGAAGTCTTATTATGCATGTAATATTGTTTATTACTTTTCTAAAAGAACTAGCATTACGAATTTAATAGTTTTAAACTTGTTTGAATGGAAACAAGTTTAATTTGAAACGAGAATTGTAAACAGATTTTCATAGCATTAAGAAATTAAACAATATTCATTTTGAATACTAATAAACATTTAACTTTATACGTACTATTTTATTTATTTATTTGAGTTTTTTTAAAACTATATTTTTGAAAACTAATACCAAAACAAAGGAAACTTGCCTATATTTTGTTTATAGAATCCACCATATTTTCAGCTTTAAAATATATTTCGAATAAATTTTCTGATTAGTTTTTTAAATACTGATCAAAAAATTGGTACGAAGTTGTTCGCTTCTACATAGGAGAGTGATGGCAAACCCTAATTTCGAGATACCGGTAGACCAGAAATTAAGGTTTGAATCACAACTATTTACATTAGAAATATTTCACCTTTTTGTATTTGAAGGCAACGCTGTTCGATGAAAACTAAAGAAAATCCGAATTCAATTTTTATCACAATGAAAACGAAGCAATAGGAACTCACAGAAGGATTTAAGTGGGTGCTCAGGGTGCAGTTGCACCCCCTTGTAATAGTTTTTCCAGAGTAAAACGGGGTCCTCGGGTAATAAAATATTTTGTAAGGCATATTACAGTATTTTCTTTCTGCACCTCTCTAAAGATTTCTAGATCCGATATTATAAGAACTCGATTACGTAGTGAATAACTATTAATATTTTTATTGATGTAGACGAAAATGGAACTTAGAAGATCTTGGCTGATCGACTTGTGTAGCGGTGGCCAATCTTTCTGACCTTACGGACCGCTAAACTCACAATTTTGAATCCCTCGGACCACTATCATAAATTTTTTTAACGATACAAACGTCTACAGAATAATGATCATAAAAGTTTCATTTTACTTTATTAATATGAAATTCACTTGTTTAATTATAACAAATTAGTATAAACATTTTTGCTGCTTGTTTGAAATAAGTTTATAGATTCTTGGCTCTTTTCCACGAAGGAAGACAATCGCACTCACAACATTGGTTTATCGATATTATTATTTATTGGTTTCGTATTTGGTGTCAGGTTCGAATAAAAAACCCTCAATGAGCGAGAGAAAGCAACCGAGCATTTTGCATTTCTTCCCTAACACTTCGCGTAACCTTGTGTTGATCAGTGTCCAAATTTCTCCACGTACCATCAAAATTTTTTCGCGGATTATTATTGGTCCACGGACCACCGGTTGG